CTAGGTCATTGGTGGTGATGGACATCCGAGACACTTAAAATCTGCTTTACCTCATACAGCAAACTTTATAGAGACATTTGCTTGAGAACTTCATCTAATTTTTACGACTTCACTAATTGAAGTATCCGTGACTGTTTTATAGCATACAGATCACAAGCGGTCAGAAGCTGTTGTAGGCTTTTCTCGTCAGTAATTTGCTCTACTTTAGTATCCTATGAAAAATGTGAAACATTTCAATTACTTAGTGTAAATGATGAAACAATGGAAATGTTTTATGGCGCATAAATGATGCTGCACAACATTTTTGCAAACATTCATTACGAACTAGAAAGAAAATATCATTCAAGACGTCAATAATTTTGATTAACTCAAACATTTTTTAAAGATATACCTGGAATTATAACTTGAAGTAATTACATAAGTGACAACTCCGCCTAGAGCCCCTCTGGGGCTGCTGCTGGTCTCAAGCCCGGATAAAGGAGGGTTGGGCATGGGGTTAGCGACTCCATCCCGTAGAAAACTAACTCGGTAAAAAAACGCTAACCAGAAAAAAAGTATTCAAACCATTTGAACTCCGCTTTGAGAGCCAGGAGAGTTATGACGCCTCACAATAAAAGCCGAGTTCCTTCGGAAGTTACGAGGCCAATGCCCCTTCTGACAACCAGAACAACCATTTATTTAGGCACATGGAATGCTCGTACAATGTGGGAGAATGTTAGAGTCTTCCGAATTGCTGCATAAATGAGATACAACCTGGAGGTGCTTGGGATCAGTGTAACATGTTGGACGCAAGTTGGACAAAAACGACTAGCTTCAGGGGAGCTTCTGTTATACTCCGGCCATGAAGAAGAAAATGTCCCACATACACAAGAAGTTGCATCGATGCTATCAAAACAAGCACAAAAAAACATTTATAGGATGGGAATCGCATGGACCTAGGATCATCAAAGCGTCCTTCAAAACAAAGAGGGCATTTCAATGAAATTCACCCAATGCTATGCGCCTACCAACGACTACAATAAAGACGTCAAAGATCAATTCTACGATAGGCTGCAGTCAATCATCGAGAAGTGCCCAACAAAGGACTTGACCATTATGATGGGGGATTTAAATGCCAAGGTTGGAATGGACTACACTGAATATGAAGAAATCATGGGACGACATGGACTGGGAGAAAGAAACGCAAATGGTGAGAGGTTTGCATACCTATTTGCCTTCAATAAACTGGTCATAGGCGGCACTACATTCCCACATAAACGCATACACAAAACCACATGGACTTCATAGGATCACACTACACATAACCAAATCGACCGTATTTGCATTAACAAAAACTTCGGGAGGACTATGAAGAATGTGAGAACCAGTAGAAAAGATCATCACTTTCTGGTCGCCAAAATGAAATTGAAAATTAAGAAGCACTGGACAATGGGGCGGACAATATCACAAAAGTTCAATACGGCTTTTCTTCGGGATACTGACAAACTCAACAAATTCAAGATAGTCCTCAGCAACAATTTCCAGGCCTTTCATGATCTACTCAATGGAGAAGGAACTACTATGGAGAGCAACTGGAAAGGGATAAAAGAGGCAATCACTTCAACATGTTATGAGGTCCTGCGCCACAAGAAGCACCATCACAAGGAATGGATCACTGTTGATACACTGGATAAGATTCAAGAAAGGAGGAACAAGAAAGCAGCAATCAATATCAGCCGAACAAAAGCAGAAAAAGCCAAGGCACAAGCTGAATACACAGAAGTAAACAAACAAGTGAAGAGGAGCATCAGAACCGACAAACGTAAATATGTGGAAGATTTAGCAACGACGGCGGAAAAGGCTGCAAGAGAAGGAAACATGAGACAACTGTTGACACGACAAAGAAACTCTCTGGAAATCGCCGCAAACCAGAACGACCAGTGAAAAGCAAGGAAGGCGAGGTAATCACCAACATTGAAGAGCAACAAAACAGGTGGGTAGAACACTTCAAAGAACTCTTGAATCGACCAGCTCCATAGAACCCACCCAACATCGAAGCAGCACCCACGGACCTCCCAATCAATGTTGGCCCACCAACAATTGAAGAAATCAGCATGGCCATCAGACAAATCAAGAGTGGCAAAGCAGCAGGACCGGACAACATCCCAGCAGAGGCACTAAAAGCAGACGTAGCGGCAACTGCAAGGATACTCCACATTCTCTTCAATAAGATTTGGGATGAGGAACAAGTACCAAAAGACTGGAAAGAAGGACTTCTGGTCAAAATACCGAAGAAAGGCGATCTCGGCAAGTGTGATAACTACAGGGGCATCACTCTTCTCTCAATACCGGGAAAAGTCTTCAACAGGGTATTGTTAAACAGGATGAAGGACTCCGTAGACACCCAACTTCGTGACCAACAGGCAGAATTCCGTAAGGATAGATCGTATACAGACCAAATCGCAACTCTACGGATCATTGTGGAACAGTCAATTGAATGGAATTCATCACTCTACATCAACTTCATTGACTACGAGAAAGCACTTGGTAGCGTGAACAGAACAACACTATGGGAGCTTCCTCGAAACTACGACATACCTGAGAAGATAGTCAATATCATACACAATTCCTATGATGGATTAAACTGCAAAATCGTGCATGGAGGACAGTTGACAAACTCGTTCGAGGTAAAGACCGGTGTCAGGCAAGGTTGCTTACTCTCACCCTTTCTCTTTCTCCTAGTGATCGACTGGATCATGAAGACGTCAACATCTGAGTGGAAGCATGGGATACAGTGGATGACCTAGGTTTCGCAGGTGATCTGGTCTTCTATCGCACACGCAACGGCGAATGCAGGAGAAGACGGCCATTGTAGTAGCAGCCTCAGTAGCAATAGGTATCAACATACACAAAGGGAAAAGCAAGATTCTCCGATACAACACAGCATCCAACAATCGAATCAAATTCGACGGAGATATAAAAACGTTTACACATTTGGGCAGCATCATTGATGAACATGGTGGATCCGATGTAGATGTGAGGGAGCGGATCAGCAAAACAAGAGCACCATACTTACAACTGAAGAACATCTGGAACTCAAAACAACTGTCAACCAACACGAAAGTCAGAATTTTCAATACAAATGTCAAGACAGTTCTACTGTATGGGGCGGAAACTTGGAGAAATACGAAAGACATTATCCAGAAGATACAAGTGTTCATTAACAGTTGTCTGTACAAAATACTTCGGGTTCGTTGGCCAGACACTATCAGTTACAATCTACTATGGGAGAGAACAAACGAGATCCCAGCGGAGGAAGAAATCATGAAGAAGTCCTGGAAGTGGATAGGACACATATTGAGTAAAGCACCCAACTGCATCACAAGGGAAGCTCTCATTTGGAATCCCCAAGGCCAAAGGAGAAAAGGAAAAGCAAAGAACATATTACGCCGAGAAATGGAGATAGATATGAGAAAAATGAGCAAAAATTGGATAAAACTGGAAAGGAAGGCCCAGGACAGAGTGGGTTAGAAAATGCCGGTCGGCAACCTATGTTCCATTGGGAGTAACAGGCGTAAGTAAGTACATAAGTGACAAATAAATGATATTGTTACACCCCTAAAATCTGTTCATACATTTAAAGATAATTTTCACTTGAAAATCTCCAGTTGGAAAACCAGTTAAACACTACAGAGTATTGGAGAATTATTTGATTAAAATTTACACAGTCCTCGTGTATTGGATGATCGATCTACTACTACTCTAGAGATCATCATCGTAGTTAACAGTAAACATTAACTATTTAGAATTCATTTTATTAACCATGTTAAATTCTAGAGTTATGTGGAACTTCGTTTACAAACAATTTGGTGCATTAACTCAATCAACCATAAACAAAAATTAGTAACCATTACACAAATATACATACATATATCTGGTAGTGAAGACTATGAGGAAAATCATAAAGAATTTGTATAAGAATATAAAATTACAGAGTATAACAACACATTGATGCTTTAAAATAAGGATATTCTTCTAAATACTGGTAAAGTAGATATGAACAGCTGCAGCAATAATTTACGAAATAAAAAAACCTTATAATTATCATTAATTCGATCTGGCACACGAAATGACCTTAATTACTCCGTTCATAAATCAACAGGCTGCCCATTTAAGAAATATTAAAAATTCCCGGCTGATACATTGGATCGCTTTAATACATGTACTACCTGAACAACTACTGAACTAGTATACTTAAAACTATCTTCTATCACATGTTTGTTCTGTACATCTAATGTTACTATTTATATCAAGTTGATCATGCCTGTAAACTGGCGTGAATTCTGTAATTATTATTTTCAGAATATATAAATCATTATTATAATATAATTTACATGAAGTATTGTTTTTATGTGTAATAATGTATTTATTAGTTGTCAGATGGTAGTTAACGTTAAATTTATTGGTTTTTAGTGCTGAGAACAGTTGTATTGTCATTATACTAAGTAACTTTTTATTATAATGGATCGAATTTACTTACTGACTAACTTTTGAAACCAGTCGGATAGTGTACAAAACTAGTGATTTATGAATGTTGGCTGAATCAACAAAGAATCCATATGAAAATCAAAGTCTAAGACAGAACATGAGTCTCTCCTTAATTCCATAGGTAAATCATGCTAACAAGTATGAACAGGTACGTGAATTTAGCTTCATATCGAACAATTATATTGAACTAACATGAGAATACCATACATTTACCTAGAAGCAATTCTAGGTTACATGCTGATCAGATGTTTTACCAAGAGATGTACAGTCGAAATAGCATACAACTGTACTCTATTAACCCAGGACAATGGGTAACTACGGATGGTTAAGATTGTGTTTAATAGGGGAATAGATCAAGTAACATACAGACAGTAAGAAGCAACAAAATTGGGTGACATTCGCCTGAAGTTATAAATAGACAAAATCACTAGACAGCTTTCAGAACAGAATAAAGCACAAAAACAAATCCTTACTCGGGTATACGAGGTGGATTCCAACAATGGGTGCTTTGATTAATATGAAACGAATTCCCATTACTCATAGTAGTTGAATTAGTAGGACATAAGCTACCAGCTGCACCACTGAACAGATCCCGTAGAGATGAATACTACATAAAAAAGAGATTAAACAAGATTAGCAAAAACATGTGTACAATTCAACATTGAAATGAGGAAAGAAAATCAAACTGTGGTAGTTGTTATGAGCTTTAACACTAAAATAATGGGAAATAATTGGCTTCTCATTTCGATTATTAAATTACACTTGAAAAAAAATACTGTTGTTCTCTCTGTCTCTCTAACATACACACCAAAACAACGTCACGGATCAATAAATCATAAACAGCGTCAAAATAATTGCTTTTCAAATATATATATATATATATATATATATATATTATATTAATGAGCTGACGTGTGAGCAAAAAAAGCAGTTTGAATTGGATTAAAAATCACTGAACAGAACAACGTATATGTATGCACACAGCACTGAAGAAAAATGCAGACAAAACCGGACGGTAAAACCACCCAATCAACGATAAATATTATAAAAAACAAAAGCAAACTACACACATAAGTACTTGCGTATGTGTTTCATTACCGATGTTTTATCACTATTATTATTATTATTATTATTATTATTATTATTATTTTCCTCACTGTCGTTTCAAATTTCATACTGTGCATTCAATCAAACTGTAAAAGCATTCGTCGAAAAAAAAGTAAAATCAATATTACAACTTACACTGTTTTCTTTAGCCACGTTGCTTATATGTGCCCTTAGAGATATAGACGAGAGTGTATATTTTACAAGCTAACAAAATTATAGAATACAATTATTGAAGAACCCATAACGAGAGATAGAAAGTGTGAGATAGTGTAAATACAAGAAAAGATGAATAGCTGATCAATGAAATTTGTAAAACGTGTAAAAGAGAAAAGAACATAATTGTTCAGAAATGGAAAGTAGGCACAAATATGAAATAATATACAACATGAAAATAAGAATAACAAGAGAAAAACGAAACTAATCTAAACAACAGTTGGCACATTTACAAACAGGGAGCATGTACATACACTCAGACACATGTACATATGATTTATATGATGAAAAAGGGCATGTACAATTGGAATCTAAAAATGTTTCCCAAAAATCATCAACTTATAGATTAGTGTAGTGAGATGATTGTTAGATTGGAAATTGCTTATATTTATTAATAAAAATATCAAATGAGAAAGGAAAATATGTTGTATTAATTTAGTTTCATTATATTACAAATATCCCTTGGATCTGTTCTAAAGTATATATATATATATATATATATATATATATATATAGGTGCAAATTTTTTACGATTTAGCCTTATCTAGAGGACCAGTGGAAACCAGCAAGCAAGCAACACTTATGTGTCCTTGTGGTGACATAAGTACTATATGATATTAGTTGTGAACAGAAAGTCTGGCAGCAGAGAGACAAGAGGATCAAACAATAAAGAATGGAAACAGGATGCAATTTGTATGAAAATGCAAGAACAATGAAGTCTAAGTCATTTTGAGACAACTGGTGGACATTTTGAAAACTAAGCATTTACTTTATGATTGTTAGATTTTACTAACAAGTCCTGTAATTTTGTGTTAAATACATCCGATTGTCCCCACTGGTGTTCTTGTTCACTACATCCTGACCCTAGAAACGGTTGAACCCGAAACGTTTAAGTATTGTGGTGAACATGATAAATACAACGTTAATGGTTGATAATACCAAATTAAATTTGTAATTTAGTGTGATTTTTAACTAGTGTCATTAGTGATGTCTGTTTATGTCCCAGAAGATTTCCTTCTGTTTAGAAATATTACAAACAGTATAGGATTAAAAATGTAGACAGTAGATTTAAGGACTAAAGTACTAACGATGAACTACTCAATGATGATATATGTATTTCACTGATATGAGAAAAAGAATATTGAACTCCAAAAAACAATAAAAATAATCACTATAATGAAATCTTTAAGAAACATTGAAAAAAATATAATTAACAATTATGTTATTCAAGGAAATGAAAATAATTGGTTAAATGTTATGATGAAAATGATGAATTAGTTGATGGATGAGACAAAAATAAAAACATAATATAGAAATAAACACATTACATCATATTATTTGGGTATTAATAATGATATTTGATCAGTTAATTGATAACAAAGAATAAAGTGTATCAATTAAAAACAAACAGTAGATTGAATGCATGAATCGTTGATAAAATAAAAACAACAGGTTAACATTTGAATTTGTGTCAATTAACAATTATTCAATTCATTCACTATTTGTCAATATACTTACAAAGATTACAAATAGTAAACACTGAATTTATTTGGTTATCAATAGTTAACTTAAGTTACTACGTATGTAACAGAGATAGTAGGAATTTGTACGATAGTCACTTATTATACAATGAAACAATCTATGAACATATGTTTTTATACATTTAGTACACAAGTGAAACCCCAGAGCGTTACCCATTGAAATACTGAGTCCAGATAATCGATTCTGCTTAAATTATCATAGTTAGAATTGGTGGAAATTTTTTCCAAGCTGAAAACATAATCATGTCAGTAAAATATAAATTTCACATAATTTTTAGTGCTGGAATTATGGTAAACTTAAATAACTAACATGTGAATATATGGGAAAATACTTGAAAATACGGAACATACAAGACTGAATTTATTGTCTCACAAATTCACCCAATGTACTTGACAATCATAATTGGCTATGACCAAATGGCTAGGGATCGATCAAGAAATCAAGTCACTTTTATTGGCAAAATTTTGGGAGTAATTTTAAATCAAGGGTTTACGAATTGTATATTGTCAAACAAAAAAATAGTTGAAGGCGAGAAAACCCATTCAAACATAGATACACATACAAATCAATTTCGGATGATGTCATTGTCTATTTAAGTCTTTGTGAAGGTTCTATGGTTTCAAAGACTTCAGATCCCGGCACCATTTAATGATCATTTATATTTACTACGTTGATTTTATACTGAACAATTGGAAAATAAATATCATTATAGACCGATGTTAGTTAATTAAATAATGAAAACCAGAGATAAACTGCTTCAGCATATCAACAATTCCACAACTGATCGAGCCAAACAGCTTCAGGGTTGAAGACAAACAAATCATCTTAGGATCATTACATTTGCATCCAATATTCTGTATTTCAACATTCATTTAATGAATTTCTATTCTTTAAAAATAATTCAACCAGTTGTACGAGATGAAAGAACGATGGAACAGCAATTAAATCAAGTAAAATATGAACATAATTTTCACATTAACTGAACACGATTAAATGAGTGGTTAAAAGAAAAACCACAAGAATAATTAAAGCTGTCAAATTGATATAAATTACACGCACACACATACCAACTACCACCACCAACATAGAACAGTAGAACAGAATCATATTTGCCTTGAACCAGAACACACACACAACGGAATCGGATTTATTATTCATACGAAGGACAGAAAATATTAAACACGAATCACAGAAAACGGACACCCAAACTAGATCAGTGATTATGAGAATATATAAATGCATATATTATAACAGCAGTTCGTTAGCTAACATTGTTGACAAGAAGTAGAAAAACAGCTTACCTTGCCAAAATCATCATCATGATATTAGTATGAACATTTTTAAAGCACCTTTCAGTGAAGATAAACAAATTGAAAATGACAAGATATATATATATACACTAAAAAGAGAGTAGAAAACTTGACAAAACCAAACAATTCAAGTTTAAGATAAATAATATTAAGGATAATAAATCATTATCAAGAAATTTAGAGCAATTAGTCCCTTTTATGTATCTTGATCGACTTCGTCTCCGAATTATGAAGTAAAATTACAGTAAAGGGCTACATGTTTATGTATAATGACAGAAAAAAAAACAAAGACAACTTTGATGAAGTAATAATGTTGTAAGCAGAAAGTTGATTGTTTAAAAACAGAAAGAAACAATATTGTGTGTGTAATGTGGACATGTGCGTGAGACTAATTAACTTACGGAGAAAACAATTGCAAATGTTAATCGATGCAATTATTGAAAATAAAAACAACCCGATTTCCTTAATCATCATAATAACATTGAATAAAAAGTGCTTATTGTATCCAAAGTATTAAGGAAGATAACACTGGCGTTTAAATTAGTGTCAGTGGAGATAACAGCACACACCATGAGGCAATTACATCCTACTGACAAGTCTTAAACGAAATGAAATGAGTGCATTCGTGCATTTGACATATGCAGTTATACAACTTACATATCCTGATAATCATTAGATTCAAGACCTTGGATGAAGCTCTACATATGTATAGACACACCTAGTAGGTTGTAGATAGCTTTAGCGTGTCATTCTTTTTATATTTATCTGAAATTTCTAACTTATTGTTTAGTATTATAAGTGGGCGAGGGTATTTATTCACCAACTGTACTAAAGGAACTATCAATAACTGTTTAAACTGTCATGACCCCTAAAGATAAACTGATTAGTTAGCTCATGTAATTAATGTGAGAATCATCCGAGTATGGTGATGAGTCGTTTTTTTTAACTAATCACTGTTGATAGACGATTTCAGAAGCTGCTAGAAGATAAATCCATGTAATCATTAAATAAACACTTGTATTCCTTTCTTTAAACATTTAAACTTTTTTTGGCATCTCTTTAGATTTTATCATGTTGTATCTGGTTTATTTCAATTGTTGATTGCGTTTAGTCAAATCCAGTAATCACTATTTGAAGAGTACGTTAGGGAAGGACGGAATAAAAATTAAATGAACAAGATACATTTCATAGATATTCATGTATATTTGAGAACGACTGCCCCTTCTGTTTTGCATATTTATACAGAACAAGATAGTTAGGTATATAGTGATTTTTGTGTAATAAATGTTAATTTATTATAGTTATCCAACTTTAGAAAGAATAAATGACATTTCTACTTGACAAACTACATGTTTCATTTAAACATTGCTTTGTTTAGTTACTTTTTAAGAATGTAGATAATTTAATGTATAAACTGAACTCGATACTTATGTGC